TCAGGTATCAGGCAATAAAGAACAAAAAATCATATCATTGTGAATGACCGGGAGAGCAGAGTGGGAACCCAAAGCCCATCTGTAGGCAACTGGAGTTGATGATTTTAGGAGATATTCAAGCCTTTTGAGGAGTCCCTGGATGAACTCGAATCTTCAGCATAGCACATTAACCATTATGCCACTTAGGAGGAACAGTTAAAATGAAATCCCCGGAGTTCTTATTCTGATATAGGTAGTAATGACTGCTTCTTTGGTAGAGGACATGACTTTTCATGATAATGAAAGTTCAGAGGACCCTTTTTGTTGGTAACATCCTACCCTAACAGCCCCCTTTGGGGTTGCTCTTGTTAGATGCCATTGAGTTGCTCTGGCACATACGGATCCCATGTAAACCAGAATAAACACTGCCTAGTCCTGACCATCCTTAAAGTCTTGCCAGGTTTGAGTGCACTGTTGTCACCCATCTTGTTGGGGAACTCCCTGTTTTTCCTGACCCTCTACTACCAAGTTGTTTTCCAGGGATGGGAATCTCCTGAGAACATGTCTAATACATGTGAAATGAAATCTTCTAAGGAGAACTCCGGTTGGACTCCTTCTATGATAGGTTTGTTCATTCTTCTGGTAATCAGTGGTACTTTAAATATTCTTTTCCAACACCATAATTTGAGTGTGTCTCTTCTTCTGTGGTCTGCTGGATTCACTGGCACAAGCGGTAGAAAGAAACGGCTTGGATTGGGCACATTATAGACTTCAAAGTGACATTTTTGCTCTTTATCATTGTAAAGAGGTCTTGCACAGCAGATTTGTCCAATGTAACAGATGCCCTCGTTGCCCCTTTTGCTCCAGGTGGCACAGTGAACAAATGTGAACAGGAGCACATGGGGCGGTTCTAGTCTGTCCTACAGAGTCCGTTTGAATTGGAATTGCCATGATGGCAGTGAGGTATTTTTATTTTTATGTTAGGTCAATTTTGCCCAGTATGTGTAATCACTTCCTTTTGAAATAGAAATACCAACACATCATTTTATCCCTAGGCCCTCTTCTAAACTCTCTACATAGAATGTTTGGACTTTTTTTTTTTCATAAGAGATTACCTCAGTTGTTTTTGTATTTCACTTCCATAAATCACTAAAAGCTAGCAACTGACCTCATGGGGGAATAATTAAAACACTTTAATATAAGCCATCATCTCAACCCATGGTATAGATCATTCTAATAAGTAGCAGAATACTGATATTCCTTTTTCTATTAAAATACATACTCTTGCATGTGTACACACACACACACACACACAATTCTAATGAGTTCTCCAACTAAGATGTTAAATCTACCATTTCTCCACCACATACAATCTTTCTCCCACTTACCAGGTGGGCCAAATTTACCACCGATTGCTTCCAGAACGACGCAGTCTGAGTTCTGAGATGAGGTGGGCAAATCCG